ACTGTTGTGCGAAATTCATGTTCCAATTGCATAGCTCGAGCATGTTTGTTGTCGTGGAACAAGTCGTGGATGACTTTCCAGAGAGCAGAGGCAGTGGAGACAGAGGAGATGACCAGATCTGAGACCTCATCGGTGATGGTGGAGAGGATCCAACCCTGGAGGAGAGCGTCGAGTTGGAACCATTCGTCGTCGTCATCGGAGAGGGGGACGACGGAGCCATCGATGTAGCCCTTGAGGTTGAATCGCTGAACCAGAAGGAGGAAGAGTCGGCTCCACTTTTTGTAATTAGGTTGAGAGAGACTGAGTTGAACGGGGACGTGAAGTTTCACGTTTGAGATTGTTGTGAAAGCAAGGTGAGGAGGTTTGGAGGAGGTATTTTGGGAAGTGATCTCGCTGTTTTCGACCATGGTGAGGGGAAGAAGAGAACCGCCGAGGAGGAGAGGGTGTCGCCGGTGAGGAGAGCTGCCGTGGGGAGTCGGCGCTGACGGCGAGAGAGAGAAGGCCGAACGAGAGAGAGAGAGGGGGGGTTTAGGGTTTTTGATTTTTAGGCTCTGATACCATGTAGAAAGGTTAATTTCATTGATCAAATATGTGAGAGTACATGTCTATATATACAGAAGAGTTCCTAATCCTATACAAGGTAGGAGTCAATAATAGGAAACAATATATTCCTAATCCTATACAAGGTAGGAGACAATAATAGGAAACAATATATTTACATTAAATATAGAATATATTTAACAGTTAAAACAACAAGTAGTTTTTTTTCATTTCCCAAAATTTCAACCAAACACCATAAAATGAGTTGTTTTCTTGAAGTCATTTTCAAGAACTCGTTTTCGAAGTCATTTTCCATCTTTCCGAATGGGCCTTCAATATAATTGAAGATTGGTATGAAATGAAAAAAAGTATATATATTTAAAAACCATACCAAAAGTTTTATAACATAAGAAATGATAATGACCATCTTGTCAAATAAGAAAATATAGTTTGATCCTATGAATAGTGAACTAGAACCTTATTCTGAGAGAGAGGGAGTAAAATAACATTTGGGGTAATAGGTACGGATTAACCTCAATAGTTCCCTGCTCTCCAGGAATTATTTCAGGTTTGTCTTCAAGACCAGACAAAGCTTCTTTGAGTTCATCAACCAATGACTCATGCCGTATAGCAACTAGCTTTGGCCTAAATGTTTTGACCTGCATTTAACATAGTTATTTGGAGTATTAGATATCACATAAATATCCATTCTGTCGTTTTACATAGATAAGGTTGTTGCGTACATCTTGACCTCTGGGACTCTAGCAATTGGGTTCGTTGTTGATATATTTGGTATTAAATATGTAAAAAAACATTTTTTTTTACTGATATTCCACTTCCCTTTGGATTTCCAAAGGTAAAGTCAAACATAGGAGAGCTTCCATTGGCCTTTCATGATTTTATAATTTGAAGTTTTTAACTGAAAAATAAATAAATCAAATATATTAATGGTCAAAGACTCAAAACTGTGGGTGAGAAAGAAATTGCTGCAACTAAAGAACAAAAGAAGTACAATTAACTTACTCCGTCCTTAAATAACTGTCCATTATGACTTTTTCCATACATTAAGAATCAAATTGTTCAAGTCTTTAAGACTTCTTTCTCAATGAAACATAGATCTTCCAGAAAAATAATTTAGAAATGAATGGCACATTGATCAAATATTCCACGCGTATTTACCTGATCAGCAAGAAGAGCCACATTTGACCCAGCTGCAAGTGCAACAACTCTAAACTTGTCTGGATTCTCAGCAACTATATCCAGGGTCTATACAACATAAATATAAAGTTGTATCCAGCTAAGTAATAATTAATAAATAAATAAATAGATAAAACATTACTTATAGGTTAAACAATAAAAGGCTGTCCAGGGTAAAAACATTGTCACTACATGATTTTAGTGTCAAGTATTTTTGTACTTGTAAAGGAGGAAAGAGAATATTTAGCATTGATTAGCATTTATTTCCGTATATATTAGTTATGGTAGTTGCCTTGTATAGAGATTTCTTTTCCTTTGTTAATTAGGACTCTTTGCTATATATACGGCTGGATTGTAAATTGTAAAAGACAGAAGGGAATACAAAGATTTTGATTCCGAAACAATTCTTTCATGGTATCAGAGCCAAAACTCTAGGAATTTCCGCACGATCGCCCGGCATCGCGTCCATCGATCGTTGCCCGCCCTTGCTGCCGAGAAGACCGGAACGGTCGACCGTTGGTTCATAACGGTCGAAGACATCGACCGTCCCGACGGCAGAATCTCTAACCGCTGCTGTGTTCTATCCAATTCTTGAACTCTGTCATCTGGTATGTCTGAAGAAACGCCTATGAAGATTATTTCCAACAAGAAGAATGAAGATCGAGAGGAGGAGGAAGTCGGGGTGCGACGTCGTCGTATCTCTCCTTATGATTTATCTCCGAGCGACAATCCGGGTATGATTTTGACCCATGTTGTTCTCAAGGGAGATAATTATGATGAGTGGTCCAAATCTCTGCGTTTGGCTCTTCGAGCACGCAAGAAGTTTGGATTTGTTGATGGGACAATCGGGATGCCTGATCCTGAAGATGAAGATTTTGATGATTGGTGGACGAACCATTCGCTCTTGGTCTCTTGGATTCGGAACACGATTGATCCAACCCTGAGATCGAGCATATCAATCATGGAGAAAGCTTCAGATCTGTGAAATGAATTGAAGGCTCGTTTTTCTGTGGTGAACGGACCAAGGGTCCAACAGTTGAAGCGAGATTTGGCGGAATGCAAACAGAAGAATCTTTCCATAATGGAATATTATGGAAAGATGAAGAAGTTATGGGACGATCTAGCAGATTTAGAGCAGTTCCCGGCTTGCACATGTAGAAATTGCACGTGTGACATGCAGGAGAAGCTCGCGCAGATGCGCGTAAGGGAACGCTCCCATCAAATTTGATGGGTCTGAATGATGCTTTGTATGGGACTTTTCGGTCAAATTTGTTGGCCCAGGAAATCATACCACCGGTGTCAAGAATATATAACATTCTTGTCCAAGATGAGACGGAACGGCATGGCATGCACAAAGGAGAAAGCAGTGAAGCAGGTGCATCCGTGTTTGCCGTAAAGAACAAGATGGAGGTCAAAGAGCTCATGTGCTTGCATTGTGGGAAAACAGGACATGATATTGAGGCGTGCTACAAGCTGATCGGGTACCCAGAGGGATGGGTGTACCGCGATCAGGCTGGAAGAGGAAGAGGAAACGGCCGGGGAAGAGGTCGTGGTGCTGCACGAGGTGGCGGACGGTCGACCGTGGCGGCTGGACATTTAATTTCTGTGTTGTTTGTTCCAACCTTGAATTGCCATTTAATTTCTGTGTCACAGTTGACAAGGGATATGAACTGTGAAGCAAAGTTTACCAATGATTTGTGCATCTTACAGGACCTAAGTTTGAGGACAACGATTGGTGTGGGTAGACATGAAGGAGGACTGTACTACCTAAAGAAGGAAGGGAGGAGCATGGCGTGCAGTGCTGCTAAGAAGAATGTGTTTGACCTTTGGCACAAACGTCTAGGACATCCTTCTTCGCATGTTTTATCCTTAGTTCCTGTAGTTGGTTCAAATAAAAGTAGTCATAGTCATTGTGATATCTGTTTGCGTGCTAAACAAACTAGGGCCAGTTTTCCTATCAGTTTTTATCAATCTATGGATAAGTTTGATATGGTGCATTGTGATGTGTGGGGTCCTTATCGGACACCAAGTTTGGATGGTTCTACACTGTTTTTGACTATTGTAGATGATTTCTCGCGTGGTGTGTGGGTATATTTGCTTGATTCAAAACGAACTGTAGGGAGTGTTTTTAAACAATTTTGTGCCATGGTTGAATGTCAATTTGGGAAGAGAATAAAATGTGTGAGAAGTGACAATGGTACAGAATTTGAGTGCTTGAATGAATATTTTTTGGAGAAGGGAATTGTTCGTGAGACATCTTGTGTGTCTA